TGTAAGTGCAGCATACTGACAAAAGCACTGCATTTTTTTCTATTTACTACAGCTTTAACCAACATGTTTTTCTATTTCTTGATTTCTTTCTCCTTAATTTGAGGATTCAGCATTCCCAATTGTCATGTTTGATACCATCCTAAAGAAATCTCTTAGTAGGAAAAAATACTGTTTTTTTGTCTGTGGATTTTATTATAGCATTATTTTTAAAAGAAGATGCCACTGGAACTTTAAAATCTCAAGCTTAATTAGAAATATGCAACACTTTAAAAGCTTACAAGTTTTGCATTTTTTCCTCTGGCAGATTAGTTTATATGAGGACATATTGATAAGACCAAGATCATGGGTCAAAAAGCCAAAAAAGACTGTCAGCTTTAGATGGTACACTATTTTCATCTAGCCATCTGGAAAATGTAGGCTATCATCTTATAGGGGGAAGACAGAGAAGGGGGACAGATTACTAAAATCCAAATTTCATTCATATACATCTGGGTTAGAAATATCGAAATGAGGGGCACCTGGCTGCCTCAGTCAGTAGAGCATGCGACTCTTGGTCTCGGGGTTGCAAGTTTGAGCCCCACATTGAGTGTAGAGATTACTTAAAAAAATACAAGCTTAAAAAAGAAAAGAAATATCAAAATGAAACATACTGTGAATGTCAATGCCAAGTCTTTGTTTCTAAAAATGTTTAGGACAGGATTTGGATGTTTTTTAAAACTGTCCTCCTAGGTCACACTAAAGTATCCTTAGTCCAATATTTGATCTTTGTTAGGAGCCCCAGGGAGCCATCTTGTGGATCAATGTGGTTAACTTCCATATGTGCCTACTACTCCTAACTTGCCATTAGCTCTTCATCATAATTCTTTTTTCCCCTCCATTAATTTATCTTAAACTTTTTTATTAAAGATTTTATTTATTTAAGAGAGAGAAAGGAGAGAGCGAGAGTGACAGAGAGAGAGAGCATGAAGAAGCAGGGTGGAAGGCAGAGGGAGAAGCAGACTCCCTGCAGAGCAGGGAGCCTAATGCAGGACTCAATCCCAGGACCCTGAGATCATGACCTGAGCCGAAAGCAGTCGCTTAACTGATTGAGCCACCCAGGCACCGCAATTTATCTTAAACTTATCAGCTTATCCTAATTGTATAAAACTCCATTTTTAAAGTTTGAAATTGAATGTTTCAGAGTATTCTAGGATTCCAAGTATTTTAAACAAGCTGTGATAGTAAAGTCTCGTGTATGATTTAAAACAGAAGCTTGTACTGGAGGGTTTTTTTTTTTTTTCTTTTTCTTTTTGGATTAATCTATTTCACATTTATACTTCAAATGGGATACAGGGTTGTACTCTAGCTCTATTGCTAACTAGCATGACCCTGAATACATTTGTTAACCAATTATAGGTTTGATTTTCTAATAAAAAGCATGTTTAGTATCTGTCCTGGGTTGTAAGGTTCAAATAAAAAGTAGATGTAAAAGTGCTTAGAAATATAGTGTGACATTTATTATTTCAGGTTTAATTTTCCTATCACTATAAAATAAGAATATAATAATGGCCTGTTCTAGATTTCCCATTAAGTACCTTCTGACTCTAAAAATTCTGACTCCTTATCAACATTATAGTACTTGTAAGACAGCATGAGCTATTTAAAGATGTTTTCCTTTAAAAACTTGTTATATTTACTTTTAAAGAGCATGTGCTGCCAAACTGTGCTCTTAAGAAATATGTTTTTAAAAGATTTACTTATTTATTTGAGAGAGAGAACACATGCATGTGTGGAGGGGGAGGGGTAGAAGGAGAAGAGAATCTTTTTTTTTTAAGATTTTATTTATTTATTTGACAGAGAGAGAGAGAGAGAGAGTACAAGCAGGGGGAATAGCAGGGAGAGGGAGAAGCAGGCCCCCGCTGAGCAGAGAGCCCAATGTGGGGCTCAATCCCAGGACTCTGGGATCATGACCTGAACCGAAGGTAGAGGCTTAACCCACTGGGCCACCCAGGCACCCCAGGAGAAGAATCTTAAGCAGACTCCTCCATGAGTGTGGAGACTCATGTGGGGGCTCAATCTCACAACTCCAGCTGAACCTAGAATTAGATGCTTAACTAACTGTGCCACCCAGGTACCCTTCTTAACTATATTTTTAAGAAAATATGATAAAGCAAATCTATTTCACAATATAATTCAAGGCTGAGAAATGTGGACAAGTTTTTAAACTGGTGGTAAAGAGTAAAAACCTTTAAAATTGTAATTGAGGGAATGGAAACTTAGTGTACATTAGAATCTATCTTGAATTTTTGATGGAGATGATAAGTGGTTGTTGCCTAACCTAGAAAAATAAATGCACCTGAAATATGGCAAAAAACATTTCTAAAGTATTTTCAGATTCTAGTCTTAGTATCAATCCTGTTTTCACATAAGAAACACAGGTCATAAACTGGTGGCCCTTGGTCCTATCCAGTTAAGTGTTTTGCTGGCTTGCTAAATGTTTAAAAAATATTTGAACCAGTGTTTTAAAATTAGAAGATTTCACATAAAGTCCAAATTTCAGGTCCTCTTGACAAACCTAGCAACACCGGGCCCATATTCCTGCATGGCAAAATTTGGCTACAGCTGGGAAGTTATGTCCCATTTAGATGAACACGTGGAGTTCTCTAGTCCCCTCTACTGCCTATTGTTCTCTTTCCCTTATCATCCCCATTGCTACAGGCACTTGACCTCACAAGTTCAGTAGAATACAGAACCACTATAACACATTATATGCCAAATGCCCTATTTTTATCATTAATAGGTATTAAGAAACAAAAATACAATCTTTGAGAACTGAGGGAGGCACCAGAAGCAATCTGTTTATATAAAGGACAGTAAAAGATATTTTTTGGTGACTATTTACTAATTTAGATCCTTTTAAGTAAATTCAGTCTGCTTATTACAGGTTGTGGATGGGGGTGGCAGGAATGGTAGGAAAAATATGAAATATTTTGTTTGTTTTATTCAAGACTTTTGATAGATGAATTTTCAAACACGTATTAGATCTCTGAATGTAAACTAACATGAAGAAAAGGTGAAAGAGGGGGCCCAAAAAGAAAGTGTTTTCTCAGCAGACATAAAGTAGTAATGTTCATTCTCACTCAAGTGGCTGCCCACATGCTAGCAGAGCTTAATCTGGACTGATAATATTCATCTGTAGATGCCAAATAACATCAGATGTCATGTGGTTGGAAACTATAGTAGTTCTATTCTGTTTTGCTATCTGGCATCTGCTAGTAGAAAAATGTCGCAACATGTTCAATTTGGCTAATTAATTTAGACTCATGTGAATAAAATGTGCGGTGTCTAGCTTCTGAACTGTGCCTAGGCCTAAGAACAGGAACTGTTCTTCTTGGATGAATTTGGATGATGCCACTGGTTCTGGTATACTTCACCAGCAGACACTACTATTAAGTTAATAGAAAATGACACATCCTACTCACACAAAATACCAGATGGCCAGCAGTTGCCTTGGTATCTGCTTTGATAACACGAAGATTCATCTGTATTTGAATTGCAGGGCCCACACATCTTTCATCAACAGTCCTTAGGGTGCCAGGACTTGACACTCATGAAACTGTGCTGACATCAGTACACTGCTGCAGATTGTATCACATCAGCTCCAAGTGTTGGTGAAGTAGCAGCAACACTTTACTACAGGGAGACAGTCCAGGATACTAGCACTTACTCTCCACAGACAGGAGGATTAAATGCTAACTCTTCTTTGTAGGATACCAAGGGTGTGTGTGCAGAGAAGTGGGATGGATTTAATTAACAACTCATAACAATGGTAGATATAGTTACATTTGAGAAGGCTTAATCATTATTGGTGAAGTATGAATACTGTGAAGTATTCTTGCAAAATACTTTACGTGGAATTTAATTAAGCCTCTAGATCAACTTCTGACTTATAAGAAATAAGAAAAAAGGAAACATTCAAAAACACCTCTGGCCTGAACTCTTTAAAATGACAATGTCACAGGGGGGAAAAAAAAAGACGACAGGGGAATTGTTCTAGATTAAGGCTAAAGAGTTTTAACACCCAAATACAATACATAAACATTGACTGGATCCTGAATTTTGTTGGAGGAGCAGGGGAAAAGGTATAAAACATACTCTTGGGTCAAATGACAGAATATACATACAGAGTAGATTTTAAATATCACAGATTTATTAATATCCTTAGTTGTCATAACGATACTATGTTTTTCAGGAGAATTTTATAATTCTTAGGGAACACGTTTTGGAAATTTTAGAGGTGTCTCCTTAACAACAGGTGTCTAACCTATTTCCAAATAGTTTTATGACAATGAAAAAAGCATGAGAAGGGGTGAAATAAATATGGCAAAATGTTAACTGCTGGATCTACGTGAAGGGTATATGAATGTTTATTATGGTCTTTCGACATTTTATATGTGTGACTTTCTTTTTTAATTGAGGGAAGAAATCATGTTGCAAAGACTTCAGAGGGGCAATCTAAGAGGCTGAGTAACAACTACACTGAATTTAATCAACTGAAGCTGGCAATGTCTTAGGCACCCAGGAAACACCAAATATATTCAATGTTTTAATAAGTATTTACCAAAATCATATGTGTAGGATAACATGATAGGGAGATGAATCTACAGATTCATCTAATAGACAAACCATTCTATTTAGACGTAAACATAGCAGTAAAGCTAAGAACTTAAGCAGCTGTTATATAAAATTGTGGTTGTCATAAAAAAAAGTACAAAAAGTGCTAGGTAAGCACAGAGTAAATTACTTCCTGTTGCAGAGAATCTGGAAATACATCTCCAAGGATAACTAGGACATGGAAACAGAGTCACAAAAGGTTAGTGCCTCAGTGATTAATCTTGGAAGAAACAAGAATAGTTCATTTTGGCTCAAGCATGAGTAGTATGGAAATAGAAAGAAACTAAGTAAAGAAGGTAGGTTTGCACCCTTGTTGACTGGCTGGGTAAATACAGTTTTCAGTTTACCTGAAAGTTCTCCCGGTCTTTTTCCCGGCAACGTTAGGCATCCAACCCAGTATTACCAAGATGACTTAAAGTTCTTGACTCAAGCCTACAGAAGAAACTACATGAGATAATGTGACAACTCTTGAAAAAAAACCGTATAAAAGTATTACGGTATTCTCAAGAATATTCACAAACATTAAATTGTTTAATAAAATGTAGGCATGGAGGATAAGGACGGTATAGCTTCACCCAGAAATGCAGTCATTGCTTTTAAGCCCCCAAAGGAATGAAACAAAAGAACATTCCTAATGTTAAGACCGGAGGCGGGAAAATAAGACTCAGAGGTGTTGCCGAGGCGGTGGAGGACCACCTTCGTCCTTTCTAGGTGGTAACGGAAAACGATTTCCACAAGCTCCAGAATTCTCCGTCCTCCAAAGATCGGGGTGAAAGCACTTAATAGGAACTTAAGGGGCGCGGTCAGGAGCTCCAAGTTGCGGGAGTGAGGAGCTCCGCCCTGCGGCGCGCGCCTAAGTCCCCTCCGGACCCGCTGGCTGCAGCTGGGCGCGAGGGGCCGATGGAGCGGCCTCGCCCCACAGGGAACCTCAGAGGGGCGGGGGTGGGGCGGGGGTAGGGCGGGCAGGCCAGCCCGGAAAGAAAACCTTCTTCCAGCGGAAGCGGCTGCGAGCCCCGCTCACCTCCTCGGCTCTCCGTCTCCCGCGGGCCGTCTAGCTGGGGGCTGCCTCACGGGACAGGGCGGACGGACCCTCACCTCACTTTGCGACTCCAGCTGGAATGGGCACTCCCTGGGGTGCCGGGGGCTCTGGCTATTCCCACCCTTCCGCCATGACCCCATTCAGAAGTGCCAAATGCAACTTCCGGGCAGGACAGGGATTTTCGGAACCCTAACCTCTTGTCCACCTAGGTAAGTGACCAGACGTCCCAGCAAAATAAGGGCCAGGAAACCTGCTTCTTCCTCTCCCCCATCCCAGGCAGGTAGTTCTGAATATGAATTAAGTTGTCTAACCTGGGATGTCTGGTCACCTTTGGTCCTTTTTCGGGCCTACTTACAGATTTACCTTCCCAGACGGCTCGACTGTTGCCCAGGGCAACGGTGAGATTTGGGCGAAGGGAAAACTACGTCACACTGGAGACGGGAGGCCAGGAAACTCCCTGCCATTATCAGTTATGGCTGCCTTAGCTTCAACAGTAACTTCCGATTGCGAGTTGTCACTCTACCCTGCTGGAGGCTTACTCTGTGGCTCCGCTTGCCAGCGGCACCCAGTGGGCGGGAGAGAGGGCGTAGAGCAGCTGAGGAAAGGAAAAGGGCGGGGCGAGGGAAGCTGGCGCTAATGTCTCACTCTGATTGGACCGCGTCGTTGGCTCCAGTGCCTCACTCTGATTGGGCAGCGTCGGTATGCTTGGCTCCGCCTGTTTTTCTTCCCCAGCGAGTGACGGGCCTGCGCCGGAGGGGTGGGGCGGGGCGGTAGGAGCGAGAGTGTGTGGAGGGGCGGGCGGGGCGGGGCGGGGCGAGTGGGGGAGGGGCGGGCGGGGGGCGGCGGTTGGGCAGCGTCGCTTCTAAGGAGGAGGAGGAAGGAGGGCGAGCAAGGAGGATGGCGGAGTTGGGGCTCCTGACGGTAACCCGGGGCCGCTGAGGCGGGAGGGTGGTGATTAGTCGGTTCTTCCTGCCTTCCTTCCTACCCGTCGGGCGGTCCCGCTGGCTGTCGATAGGGGGAGGCCCCGCGCGCCCTGGGGGGCTAGAGCCGGCGGGGCCGGGGCGAGGCCCGAGGGGCTGGGGCCCTGGGAGGCGCCGCCGCCGCCGCTTTCCTGGGTGCTGTCGCAGGGAGGGCCGGGCCCTCGGAGCCGGCTCTCGTGCGGGTCCCGCAGCCGGGCGCCGAGAGTGAGCCGGCCGGCTCTGACAGCGGTCGGGGCCGGGCCTGCGGTGGCGGAGGGCGGGCGGCCGGGGCAGCGCCCGGGCGAGGGCGAGCCCGCGCCAGGGCGCGGGCCGGGGGCGCCGGGCGGACGGCCCTGCTCGGTTCTGCCCCGGGGGCACCTGGCTCAGGCTGCGGGGCGCCCCGTGGGCGTCCGGGAGGCGTGTAAATCGTTGGCGGGGGCCTTGGCGCAGTGCTAGTGGTGCGGGGTGGGGTATTTTCTCGCGCCTTCCCCAAAGCCCACCACTCTCTCCCCTTCTTCTGTCCTTTCGGTGAAGAGTGGCGAGTTGGCTTTGGGTATGTTGCCTGGTGAGGCGAGTTGTAGGCATCCAAGACCGCCCTGTTGGACTTGCTTGGTGGCAGCTTCTTTCCGCGGTAGCTTTTAGGAAAAGAGGAAAAGTACTCTTATCTCCTTCCCTCCTCCCCTTCTCCTTTGCCCCCCCCCTCCAGCTCTTAACGCTGGAGGCTTCAGGACCAAACGATTTTCCCCCAGCCCCTCAGTATCCATTGTTTTGTACCATCCCCCTCCCCCGCCCCAAGCCTAGGTAGAAGCAGCATGACTTCAAACCCTTAATTGCCCCCTCCCCCCCGTTTTTAAATCGGCAGAGGTTTTGTGTTATTATGTTAGTACGGATTTACAAACAGGTGGAATGAATACCGATTCGGGAGTTGGAAAAAAGATGCTTTTTTGTGTGTTTTTAAGCTTTCAGTCCTTACAGTTGGTGATTTGATTTTCTTGTCTGTAGCTTTGTATCATAATGGGGGTGATGAGAATAAAAGAGGAAGCAATGTTTTGCAACCTACCCAAAGAAATGTTTTTTAAGTCTCTGGGGATGCTGAAGCAAAATTGGGTTGTAGATGTGTACTGTATAGTATTTGCTTCCATCATAACTACCAACAGTCTGTAGCTTTCACCTGTGCAATTTTGTACACTTCATGAATGTCAGCTTCCAGTATCTACCGAGAGGGATTACTGTATCTAAAACTTATTTTTTGTTCTTCAGAATCCTAGGGTATACTTGTGTAACCAGGTATTTTTGTATTTAAGTGTAGCATTAATACTGAAAAATTACCTTATTTTAAAGACCTCGGTTTATTAGTGTAGTAATTTCTACCCTGGCCCTTCCATGCCATATCTCTTATAACTGTTAATATGTATTTGAAGAAACTTAGCTGTTGGGTAAAATTTGTAACATTCATACATTTATAGTTTGAATTTATCAAGTGTTGACCTTCTGTGTGACAGTGACAAGAATTTTTAGAAATTATATATATAACACCATTCTCTACCTATGGAATTTAGATTGTGATAAATCTTTTTAAATACTTATTTGGACGTAAGGTACACTGAAGCTTTTATTTAATTATGAATATACATTTGAAAAATCTCAGACAAGTAAAGGCTTTAAGGTTTGTAACTTTCAAATGGCTTAAATATAAAGCTAACATAAAACTATATTCTTTTTTTTTTTTTTAAAGATTTTATTTATTTATTTGAGAGAGAGAGCACGAAAGGGAAGAGGGTCAGAGGGAGAAGCAGACTCCCTGCTGAGCAGGGAGCCCGATGTGGGACTCGGTCCCGTGACTCCAGGATCATGACCTGAGCCGAAGGCAGTTGCTTAACGAACTGAGCCACCCAGGCGTCCAAAACTATATTCTTGAAATGACAGTTTTGAGGGGTGGACCTAGCCTATCTGTAAGATTACTACTTTTTCTTAGGGTGTTTGTTTAGTTTTTGAAGAAACAACTACCTTTACTCTTCGGGTTGGCATTTGCTTATTGATCTCTCATTGTTAATACAGTTTTTAAGTGTTTTTCTCTTGTTAAAAGTTGTTAGGGATAAAAGTGATATTAAGAGATATATTAATAGCTTGCAGCTAGATTTTTAAAAAGTTTTTAAACTACCATATTCAGAAAGTTGATCAGAGCTGTGTTTTGATAATTGTAGCCAGACTTGTGAAACAGCTTGTGATTTACAAACCAGTTAGAAATTTGAAACAAAAGGAACACCAAAATTATAAATTCTAGTGTTATATTGCTGGAATTGTGCTTTTTAAGTATTACTATTTCTTCAGTGACTTGGGACAGGGCTTGTCCCATGTTCAGTGAGATATAAACCAGAATTCTATGTGGAATATTCCCAAAGATGCCTTCTGAATAAGCTGCTGGTGTGTGTGTGTGTGTGTGTGTGTGTGTGATTTATTTATTTATTTATTTATTTTTAAGTAATCTCTACACCCAGCATAGGGCTTGAACTCACAACCCCAAGATCAAGAGTTGCATGCTCTTCTGACTGAGCCAGCTGGGCGCCCCTCTGCTGGTATATTTTTTGACTTGCTTTACCCATGTGGGGGAAAGGTAAATAATACTGAATTTCTTTGTTATCCAGGTAGTCCTATTTGTTTTGAAATGCTGGATTATCAATATCTGTTGTATGTAATTTAATATTTCTGTAAGACTTGTGTTCTTTAAACAATTTAATTTTTAGATTTTTTTCTAATAAGATATTTAAATATAAAAATAAACTTGTGTTTTTGATTAAAAACAAACCTTAACTTGTGTGTGCAGATATAAGGATGAGTATTTTTTGGAGGTTGAAAGAATATATCTTTAGAATTCAGTTTACTATATTATATATCATTTACGTATCATTCATGTATGAAAACAAAATCAATGCTTATAATCAAAAACCAAACAAGAGCAGCACCCCTCCCCCCGCAACAAAACACAGTAAAACCAAACAGAATGACCCGTAAATCCTTCAGTGAGTTCTGAGGTTTATGTTTTGACCTTGGTGGAAGTGTTCTTGAATTAGTTTATAAAATATCAGTTCAGGGAGGAGAGGAAATTTAGACATAGAATAAACACTTTCCTAATAAGACTAGTAGGGAATTGGCAAATATTTTGTTGTGCATAAATTAGATAGAAATTAACTGTAATTTAGCAGCAGAGTGATATATTAAGTACTTTCACGTGGTACTTGAGAAATGAATACTGCAGATATTAAATTGGTTGCTTTTTTGCTTATTGTTAGACTTATACTTCATGCATTTTATATTATGTATTGGCATATTATAATTAAAGGCTAAATCTTGCCTAGGCTGAATTATAAAAAAGTTGCTATCCCTGTGTTCTCAATTTTGTTTTGTCTGCTAGTTATACCACATCAAAGTTAGGCCATATAAATCTTTCTGAAAATATTTTCTCTCCGACAATATACTAGTTAAAATTTTGCATTTTCCCAGCTCTGTTTACACTGACTCTTAAAATCTGAAAAATTTTTAAGTCACAAGGTGACCTATGGAATGCTTGAACTTTATATAGAGTGTTCTGAAATGTAATTGCAGTCAGTGAAGGCTGAAAGAAACAAGGATAAGTTGGAAAAACTGATTTGTGTTCTAAAATATGTAATTGCATTATTTTTTAGGTAAACTAATGCTCATTCCTTGGTACTTTCCCCTGGTTCCCATCTTTTTAGTACAGCATCTTTAATTCTGTAAATCAAAATTGTAATACATAAAAAGAATATTCTAATTACAAAGGGCTCTTTAGCTTTTAAGATGTTGGTAACATATGTGCTTTCTGAGAAAGTATGAAATTCCCATTATCAAGATTTAAAAGAACTAATTAGATTTCACACTATATATCTCATTCCAACTTCTCTAAAGATCAGAACTGATTGCAAAAAGTAGTGCATGTTGTAAAAGGTAAGGGTTCTTTTATCAGAAAGAATGAACATACTGCTTGAAGCTAAAACATTAAAGGAGACCTTAAAAGCGGGTAAAATTGGTCCCTATGTGAAATGAACCTGAAAGACTTTTATGAAGTATTTTGGCTTGTCTATCTTCTAATGTTTATAGCACTGTGAACACTTAAAATTTAAGCACTTTATTTGCCCTCAAATACTATTTGTAAATTCTACAATTTTAATTAAGTAATTTCACAGTTGTTAAAGATAAATCTTTTTTTCTTTTGGTTTTTCTAATGTCTTGGAGGTAAAGTAGAAATTACTTGTCTGACAATGATGAGATTAACTAAATTCTAGATATTATCAGTTAAATTTGCACTTTCTCAGTTTCCAGTTTTGTGTTGTACAACACTCCTTCCTGCTTTCAGGACTCACAGTTTTGTAAATAGTCGTTAACTTTAAGATTTTGTTCTGTAAATATTTCTTACTATAATTTCATATTCATAATGTCATTGACCTTCTACTAAGTGCCATGTATGTCCCAGACTCTGAGGATACATAGATAAATACGTTATGTTTTCTGCTTTCAGAAAGTTCAGTTTGTTGCCTCAACTGTGCAAGTCAGTAGTAAATTGTTTTACAGTGTGACAAGTGCTTTGATAGCAGTAT